TCCAGGTATATAAATCCTTATTACTGTCTTATCATCTTTCTCTTGTAGCTAAACTCACCACCTAGCAAGCAGGGAAAGATTTTATTCAGATGTAACCACTGATTGAAGCAAAAGTGAACACCTTCTTCTGCAAATTTCCAAAGCAAAGAGCTGTGTACACAAAGCAGATCAGATTCATTTTGTATCTTGGATCAAGGGTCACAGAGGGAAGCAGACAGATGGGGCTGAGGAACCCAGCATGGAGCAATGCATCTGGTCACCTTGCTGAGTGGAACACTTGTCTCAAGTATGAGGAAGTAAAGAAAACAGGTAGGAAGGCTTTAGAGGGGATAAGAGGGAAAGAACCATTAACCTCACAGAGGGTCATCTGAAGGGCTTTCAGATTCCCATGATTCCTGGAAGTGTCTGCTCTTCCCCATATTGGTGAGAATGCTTCATAATTTTAATTTGAGTTAGTTTGATCAGTTTCTGTATTTTGTAGTCAAAAATACTTTGACTGAAACAAAGATAAAGATGCTTATTTTTGTATCCAAAAGATTTGGGCAGTAGAGCTGATAAAAGCATTATGTTTTCAAGAGAACAATGGCTCCACCACAGGGTTCCAACTCTGGCAAACTCAGCAACAGTCACCTCCAGAAAGAATATCAAACCATTGGACACAGTCTGCTTATCTGGGGAGTGGGGAAAAAGATTGAACTGCACTATCCCTAAATTCCCCTCAAACTTTAACAATTTTGGAATTCATAAAGTGTGTTGAGTTTCAAGATGTTACAACTGCTTGGTTTTGTGAGTCCTAGAGAGTAGAGAGAGGAAGGTAAAATCAGAAAATCACGGAGGTTCAAGAATAGAGACTTCTGGCATAGATGTGCAAGGAGCCTCAGTCCATTTTGAGTGACATCTTAAAGATATGGTCCTCTGACAGAACTAAAAAGTGTCCCTTTCACTTCCATTTTCATTCTTACGCTGAGTAAAGACAGACTGGAGTAAGAGGTAGGGATTCCATTATGTTTCAGTTACCCATTGTGGGAATGTCTCCTCTGGCATCTGGAAATTTCCACTTAGGATATTATTTGTTTTCTGACTTCAATGGTTCATAGGTGGCAGACCTTACCTGGCAGAACAGAAGCTGGAAGGGGAGTACAGATCTTTTATTTCATCCTCTCTGGCTAAAATGGTCTTATAGAAATTGAGTGGGATTTGGCGGGTTTTTCTTTTCCACAACTATTCTCAAATTATATATATGAAATTCCAGTAGTGAAAGTAAGCTCTGGTTTCTAATGGTAGAAGCTTGAGACTTCTGATTTAAAATAAAAATTCTTCTTGGAGATGAAGTAGGAGAAAGCTTTTCTTTTCCTTTCGCCCTCCTCCTCTTCCTCATTTCCTTTGTAATTATCAGAATCTCATGTGTTAGGCAACTAGAGAAACTAGGGGTAATAGACAAGGGGAGAGGTGAAAAAAAGAAGGGTTGAAGTTAAATGGCCCTGGAGCCTTCCTGGTGGCCTAAGGATTAAGTCTCAGTGCTGTCACTGCTTAGGTCTGAGTTGGCTTCCTGGCCAGGGAACAAAGCCGGATCAGGCACAGCAGACCTCTCCTGTCTCACCCTCTGATCCCCTTAGCAGAACAGTTCAGTAAGTCTGTCTGTTCTGCTTCCCACTTTGTCTCTGGTGAATCCTCTCACCTCCTGTACCTCTGACCTATACTTTAGTTCTCCTACACACACAACACACACACACACAAAAATTAAACAAAAAGAAAAAAGAACTCAAATGATCCTGTCTGGTTTGTGCCAAGGGTCTTTGGCATGGGCAAGAATAATGCTCTAAGGATATTTACTACTCTGGTGACTTAAAAATATGTCTACTTATATGACAAAAAGTACATTTCAGAGGCAATTACAAGTATAAAATTTCTTTCTTTCTTTCTTTTTCTTTCTTTTTTGAGGTAATTTTGACTGATAATATGGTATATAATTTAGGGGAAAATGTTCACACCTCCTCAAAAATATAAGTCATCAGAACACACCCATCAACAAAGGAAGGTTTGGGTTAAGGAGTTTATTTTGGATTATCCATATGGGTTCAATTTAATTGGAATATTCCTTAGAATTTCTCTTTCCTTTTTGTAGTCAGAATAGAGGAAAGAGACAACAGAAGAATGTCTGGAGAGATGCAATGTTGCAGAAAACCAAGGGAGTCTAAATGACTTTGATTACCTTTGTGTGTCTGCTGTTCTTTAGAATGAATTTTCTTTCTTGATGATCAATATAAAGTTGGCAACCATTATAATTTGTAGTACAGCATTCTGTTTACTGAATCTGATTTCGAAGGTCAAATGGCTAATAAAAACAACATGTAAGACTTATGGAGTTTACTGTATATTTTAATGGAATGGGTCCTTGACTATTTCTTTGTGATGTATTTTTTACCATCTCTTGGGTTAGTGAAGCTAACTAGTGTACACTTTTATAATGAATGATCCATTTCATTGGCATATGAATATATTGACAGAAATGTATTGATATATTTCCAGTTTCTTACAAATTAAAAAGCATTCTGTATTTCCTGTGATTATATTCCATTAAATGTAGTGGGTTTTTTTTTCTTTCTTTCTTTCTTATTCTCTCACAAAACAGCTAAATTTTGTCTATTTTCTGTTTGTTCTTGTGAAAACTTTTGGCTTCAGTGACCATTTATTTTTTATTTAATTTATTTTTAAGTATTGCCTCCCTTTTGATTTCATGGTTTTCAGTCATTCTTGTTTTATAATAAAAGCACTCAAGGCTACAAATTTTCTACTGGGCATTGCTTTAGTCTTTCTAATAGTCTTTGACACTATTATATTTCTCTGTGGTAAGCTGACTTTTCCTCTGGTAGCTTTCAGTACTGTCTTTTTGTCTTTAATCTTCTGCAGCTTCTCTGTAGTAAGTATAAAAGTAGATTATTGTTTGTTGTTGTTCTCTGATTAGACTTTGGTTAGCTCCTTTAATCCGAGGAATCCTGTTTCTTTATAAATGTGGAAAACTCTTTGCCAGGATCACGCTTCTTTTCCAGTCAAGTTGGCAGAAGTTATCTAGTCCTTATTTTATGGAAAGATAATTTTCCCTGGTTTCAGGTTTAGCTCCAGCTTCAGGGTTGCTATGTGCCTGTGGCCTCATTTCCTCCCCCAGTGGCTCAGACACATACACACTTTCTAGGCTCCCGTGAGCTGTTCAACTCTGGTTTCTCCTCACTGCCCTCATTTTGAGTTTTTTTTTTCTTTCTTTCTTTTTCATTTCTAGCTCTTGTAAATTTTCCTTCCTTCCTCCTACCCCCAATATTTCTGTATATTTCAAAAGGAGGGATTGACTTTGGACATTTTCCTACCTTATCAAAGTGACTAGAAGTTCTCTACTACTTTTGGTTTAGGACACTTCAAACCAGCTAAATAAAATGAAATCCTCATATATATTTTCACCCAATCTCTCCTTGAGTCAAGCAAGCACACCTCTCTCTTTAGAGATTTCTAAAGGTATTAATCACAATCATTTATAATAAAAAATGGATGGGATTTGCTTTTATATCCACAGATTTGAATTCTTGTTTTGCTCCTAGTTGAGTCATTGGTAGTTGTATAGTTATCTTTAAGCATAGTTGTTTTATTTCCAAAGGAGAATACAATCATCTTATTGCCCAACTGAGAACTGATTTAATGAAACCGAGAGACTGATGAATATGTACTAAATAACTGATAGCCACTATTTTCAGTTCTTCTAGGCACCATGAAGAAATACATAATGTTATAATTTCCTGGTGTCCTCAGTGCTTTATCACTTAAAATTTGTTGGTACAAATGTTGTGTAAGGAATAATGGGATATCTTTGAGCACAAATATTTAATCAAGATTCTCTTATACTGAATTTTAATGGCACCCACCTCCATTGTGAGACACAGAATCTTGGGTATTTTTCCATGGGCTATTTTGGATATGAGGAAATGGTGTTTGTGGGAGAGGTGGAAGAAGAGAGTCAAAGATGAGTTTTGAAGTTTTACCAGTCCTGGCTCTTTTTGATTCTGTTTCATTGTTGTATAAAGTCCATCCCCTCCCTCAGCAACTCCTTTCATCAAAACGTTTCTCTGTGTATTCATATTTTTCATCCAGATGGGCTATCAATTTCTGGAAGCACACACATGCCATGTCTATTTACATTGTATAATGTAAATAATTTATTGTTCTTTTAAACTTTATAAAAGACATTTTATGAAAGTAGAATTATAATAGAAATATTTTGTTTAGTCTTGCTTTCCTTAAACCATTTTAAAAACTAACAGAACATGTATTTTATGAGTACATCTAATTTACTTTAATCCCATAAGAAAAATATATGTAAATGTAAGGACATTTGTTAGCAGAAAATTATTTAAAAGCGCTGCTTTTTGTTTTCTTTAATTTTTCCTAGTTATCATGCCATTTATTACATTGTCCCATTGACCACATTATTATTGTTATTGACAATTCTGATTTCTTCACTGGAGGAATAATTTCATAATTTAGAAACTATCAACTCAGTTTTTTAAAAAGTTTCAATTACAAGGGACACCATGGTTTCTGTCTGGTGGCCTCACAGCAGGCTTTTTGCATTACCCCAAATACAAAGTTGCTTTTTTTCTAGAAGTGAATGTTGTTGGGAGCTAGTTCATGACACTAAAACGCAATCTTCAGGGTTGTCCCCCCGGGTAGCAAGGACCACCTCTTGTGTTCTACAGTAGAAAGAGGGCACAGATCTCCACTGTTTCTAGAAAAAGATCTGTAAACTTGCACACTTATTTTAACTTAACAAGGTATTTTGGTGTCTTAGTGATTTTAAATACAAAGGGTGCTATTTCTTCACTTGTAGACATAGCTCCTTGGAAACCACAGAGCCTTGGGGATCTGTGAGGTAGTCGGCTTCAGTCCTCTGGTGCATAGATCGCATTCTCCCGAGTTGTGCTGCCTGTATGCTTGGCGTGGTCCGGCGTGTTGAGTTAAGCCCTCTGGCACACAGAGCATCGCAGGGTAAAGCAGTTGACACCAGCGTACTGTCTCTGTTTGCTTCTGCTATGTCCAGTGCTTGTACAAGAACCTGTCATCGTTAGAGGAGAAGATGGCCAGGGGAGGGGTGTCTGGGCCAGGAAAGTGGCGCTGCAGGGTCACAGTGGATGCCATCGTAGATAGGCAGGATCTTTTAGATATAGCCTGCGTCTTCCCTGAACGGGTCGATTCTCACTGCCTGGTTATACACTGCACAGATATTGCACTGATAAAATTAAAACAACATCTGTATCTTAGTAGCTTCCCTCCAAGCAGCATCCCTTTTGATCCAGTCACAGTACTCTTGGTTTGTCTTCCCTAGCATTGCCTCACTATAGAAGTCGGGGTCAACAGCTACAATCTGTCTAACGAGGCATCTCATCTAGGGGCATAAGCTGGATTCAAGACTCTTCCTTCTTCCACTTAGTCCACATTGGTAGAGACGCAAGAGTTGTCTGTGGGGACGCAGGTCCTGGTAAACACCAGGGAATGTTTCCCTGACTTAACTGGGAGCACCATGTTTGTTTGTTTTTAAAGATTTATTTATTTATGCACACACGAACTGGGGTACAGGTCAGAGGTACGGAAGTGAGAGGATTCACCAGAGACAGAGTGGGGAAGAGAACAGGCGATCTATTGAAATACATTGCTGAGGGGTGCAGCTGGTGAGTGGGGAGAGGTTAGGTGAAGCCAGGGGCTTTGACCTAAGTCTGAGACCCCAGTCCTGGTTGGAGGACTGGTGCCATCTCAGGGGTAACCTGCTGTAGCCTGACTGCCTATTGTTAACCTTAAGATTGAATGAAAACAGATTATGCCCAATACTTGAGAACCCGAAAGCTTTATGTACAGTTTCACTCTATTGGTTGAAAACATAATCTAAAGAATGTAAGTGTTTGATCAATTTAATTAATTTCAAGAAAGTATTCAAGGAAGGGACAGAATTCATAAAGATTTATTTTCTTTAAAATTCCCAAAAGACTAACATTAATCAAACATTAATTTCTCCAATCCTTCCCACCCCAAAGCAATGAGCTCTTCCTTACTAGAAGTAATCAAGCAAAAAAAAAAAAAAAAGACAATAATGTCAAGTAGATCAGATTTTTGAAAGCATATGTGAAATCATTTAGAATCAAGCATTAAGCAAAGAAAAGAAGTATTTAAGAAGATGAACTTAACTTCATTGACTCTTGCCTACCAATTTCTTCCTAAGTTTAAGATTTGGTTTGTGTGATTTTTAGTCTTCTTTTTAAATGCCTTAGGACAGAGCTTTTTACCTTTATATATATATATATATATATATATATTTACATTATTGTTCATTTTACAACAGTGTTCACTTCCCCACCTGTCATCACCATAGCCCCTCACACTCCTCCCTCCTCCTGATTTTAATCTTCTTAATATGAATAACTAAAAGTGTTTTCTATCAATGATACAATGTCAACTGAACTTCCTCACTAGGTCTTATGCCTCAAATATTAAAATGTCAGAAATATGAGTGTCAGGATCCAGTGAAAATAATTGAAATTTCAGGAAAGAGATATAAGAAATCCTTTGTGGTATATAAGTTAACAAGATGACTGAGTTTATTTTGAGTCTCCAATTTGGTTGAATGCACAGATAAGTTGAATTTTTATTACATGTAAAGGAATGTTTGGAAGATGACTGTATTCCTATTGTTTGAATTATATATGAAATTTTTTTTTGTATATTAGAAATAATAAGAAAACCACTTTCTAGGAGTTGATATAAACTATAATAATAGCTAATAAGTAGGGAGAACTTCTTGCAGAGTTAAAAGCTTTGCAGATCTTCCTTCATTAATTTCCACAAAAGTCCTGTGAGATTATTTTGATCATCTTAATTTTATTGATGGGAAAATGAAAGCAAAGAATGCTGACACACTTCATTTAGGAATGGTTTAGTCAAGATTTGAATGCTGACAACTTGGTGTAAAATAGAGGCTTTTTATTTCTATATCCTGATGTCCCTCATATAACTCAAACTCAAAAATACTGGGGTTCAAATCCTGGTTAGAGCCTGTGTTGAGTTACTTTGGAAACCAGGTCTCAGTTTTGTGATCTATAAAATAGCTCAAATGTAACTCTCCTGCTGGGTTGCTATGAAGATTAAATGAGATAATCTATAAAAAGGTACAAAGAAAACCTACATAAAGACCTTAAGTAGATATCAAACAAATGCCAGACTCTTCCTCTTCCCCTAATGCACTAAAAAAAAAACAAAAACAAAATTCCTGTGTGATTTTCATAAAAGCTAATCAAAATATTTAATAGCAGATGGTGTGCTTATTTTCCACATCCTTTAAAATGATTGTAACAAAAAAGAAATTACTTATAAACATATAAAGTCATCTAATATATTTTTTTCTCCTTTCCTTTTGCTTGCTACTACTTGGTGATACTTTTATGGTAGGATTGGGGCCGAGGCAGGAACAGCTGAATTTGTGGTTCTTTTGGAATTTTAATTATAAGTCCAAGAATGTTCCTTTGATTAAATTTTGTTATAAATTTTCTTGAAAAGATCTTTGTTTACTGACTCTTACAGAAGGAATTATATAATACAGAGTCCAGATCTTGAAATATGCTAAACCCCTAGTGAAAATTACTGTATATACAGGATTTTGTGGTGAAATTGGCGCGGTGAGGATGGATCTATTTCTTAGACAGACATCACTTAGATATGCTCCTCCAGCAACAACTGGGTCTGTTTATTTAGATGAAAGGTCCAGGCATCTCCAATATCCAAATCTGAGGGCCGTGAGTAGAGAAAAGTACAATTAACTCAGCGAACTTAAAACCACATTCCTCCATCTGTTGAGCCCCTCAATGTCAGGCACTAACGAAGCCAAATTGTGGTAAAAGGGACAAACAACAGATTGTTGAAAAAATGTGCCCTTCTCCTTCCACTGCTGTCCCTTAGAACAGTTTACCCTGAACATCTTTAACACATCATGCACTTATCTGGTATTGGATATGTGGAAAAAAGTCAGCATCGTGCTCTGTGGGGCATAGGCTGTGGTCTGGCAGGACACGTGAATGGGTTTCCAAGCCACTTGAACCCACGTGAGTGGTGGAAAATGAACCCCTTTTCCATATCCACCCATACACATGTCTGTAAAAGAAAAAGACTAAACAAAATGTTCTTTTTTTATCCTAAATAAAAACAAATAGAAGAATGAGTGGGAGAAGAATCTGGTCAAATTTACTGGAAATACCTCCGGAAAGCGGTCCTATCACAGTAAGTGAGAAATCCTTTGTTCTAGTTCTGAAGCAAACACTTGTATATTAATTGTTTTAAGTGACATTTAGCCTGTAAGTTTCTCCTAGTACAAATGAAGTTCTAACTTAGCAGCCCTTAACTTCCTCTTGCTCAAGTAGGTGCGATGGGTCAAAGAGGACGCGCGTGTCCTTAAAGAACTTGCAATTTTCTTTTTAATTATGTTATTTAAAATTTTGTACTTGTTTTCTGAATTAATAGCAGACATATCAAAGGTCTGTGTAGCTTTATTGATAATGGGATACAATTGATAGGAACCCATTACATAGAAACGTGTAGGATGGGGAGACAAAGGGAGTAGCTAAAAGCAGGTGAAAGGTATTAACTGTCTTTGGAAGTTAGCAATTAGAAGAGAGGATTTGAAACTAATTTACAAATAAAGAGACAAATGACATTTTCTACAGGAGGAATACTATAGGAAAGAAGCTGGGGTCTTAGGAATGTTCTGTAGATAGAAGCATCAAATGCTGTGAAGATGATGGGGTTAAAAACTGTTCTTTAGCAATAATGAACAGCCGTCTACTAGAGACATTTTGTGGGGGTTGAGTGGGGAATGGGATCAAAAATGGGGGGGTGGGGAGGGAAGTGCACGGGATTATGGTGATGGCACAGGGGTGACTTGGTGATGGGAAACCCGCGGGGATTACAATTGAGATGGGGAAAAAATGCACAAAATGATATAAAAATAAACTGTTATAATAATAATAAAAAAAACCTGTTCTTTAGCAATATCATGTAAGAAATAAATTCCCAGATCTTGTTCCCTTCTGGAGCACAAAGGGAAGTAAGTACTCTTTTAGTGGTGCAGAAGTCAGGCGATATCAGGTTAGTTCTCAATTTAGAAAGGTCAGGAAGGAGTCAGCTGCTGGATTGAAAAGGGAAGCAAGTGAAATTTTTATGCTGGATATTGAGCCCCAGTGACCAGTTACCCACCTCCCAAAAGGCTGCTTCTCAGGTATCCACCACCTACAGGACGATCAATGAAATTTTTTCTAAAGAAACTGAGAGGATGCTTGACATGCTGATATTTGGAGGAATCTCAGTAAGAAATCTGTCTTGTTGCCTAGTTACCCTTGCTGAAGTTGATCAACTGACAACTCTCATCTCCCTCTAGTCCTAATATTCCCTCCGCTCAGCTTTTCCCTGCATGGAGAATTTCTAATCATTTCTGTTTAGCTTCATTCTTAAACAAGCTGTAGAGGTCTCTGGGTGACTTGGTGGTGGGTATGGTGTGTGATGCACATCTGAAGAAGTGTGATCTGAGGCCTCTGAATTGCATAAAAGATTACCTTAATCAATCAATGTTACCTTAATAAAAATAAGTAAGCATGAACCAATAGTCAAGGGTCACCAAGAAATATTTAATATAATCCTCTTGTACTGATTAGAGACCATAATAAGTAAACAAAGGAAATAAACACAAGGAAGGACATAAAAAGCAAATTCAAACCCTAGAGTTAATATCCCCAGGGAGCTAAAAATCACTGCATCCAATGCATTGAGTTAGGGGCTATCATGAATAATATTGAAGGGCCCTCCATGGTGGCGCAACAGGTTAAAACACAGCACTGAGAAGCCAGCTGCAGCTGCTTAACCTTGAGTTGGTTTCCCACCCGGTGGTGACCCATGCGGTGCTTGTCTCTCCCGCTGCTCCCCTCAGCAGTGTATTTCATCAAACTGCCTGTTCTGCTCCTCACTGTCTCTGGTGAATCATCTCACCACCCCTGCACCTCTGGCCTGTACCTCAGTTCTGTGTGCATAAATAAATAAATCTTTTTTTAAAAAAAGAATACTACTGAAAAAAATTCATGGATCTTTAAAATATGATTCTCCAAAATAAAATTAATTAATAAAGTACAGTAGGCAAGATAAAATTAGAAAATAATGTCTCAATCTAGGTTCTAAGAAGTCCTTGGGTAACAAAATTCATTTAAGAGAAATTACAGAGAGAGAACTTGGAAGTTGAAAGAAAGTTGTTATAAATAGCATGAAGATATACATTTTCAGATTAAAGTACCTATGAAAAGTTTCATGGTAAAATAAAGACCTATATCAATATTCACTAAGAAGCAGATTATGAAAATCCTAGGTTGATCAAATATCATATATTCAATCTAAAGCTAAGCATGATTGTTCAAAGAAACCGAGAAAGAAAATAACGGAACGTTACTTTAAAATATGGGTGAAAATTATATACTCTGTAGAATTATAGTACTAGATTGT